AAGCCCTCCCCCCCCCCATAATCGAAGACCACCTGGTCTTCTATTTTGTCTCTCAAATCACGTTCTAAAGGGTGGTCTTCTATTGCAGTCAAATTTTGTCGCCTGCTACTAGTCCAACGGTAACCTCACGTACTTGAAGTCCGCCCCCTATTAGAAGTACCTTTTAGCGAAATTTTTTTGAAAATTCTCCTTTAGGTATAGGGCATTTTTCGACTTTTTGCGGACATAACAGAAGATATAGCGCTATACAACTGCAAATCCGGGCCCAAGGTCTTGCACAAACACGGTCACAAAACTAACAACTAAAATGTTGATACCACCACTGATGGCAAGCAAATAAACAGTACGCTAGATTTCTAGTTAGCTCTGACCTAAACAAGTTAGGAAAGAGTGATCGGTTTCAGTTCACTGTTGGTTTTGTTGCTTGGAGCCCTTCAGGATAAACGATGAGAGGAACGGAGGCGATTGTTCGATTAAGGCTTGGGTTTAATTTTTGAATTTGTAATGATTCACGAACGAGAAGACCATATTCGTGTGAATCTTTTGAGACGATTTTCCAACCTTCCCAATCAATTCTGTGTTTTGTTTCGAATTCATGTTTTTGGAGCGCTGATTTTATTTTTTTATTTTCAATTGGAATTGTGTTGTTTTCATCTTCTTCTTCCGCGATAGTGTCCTTTGGGAAGTAATCAACTTTATCTGTATTTTTGTTACGATCCGATCGACGAAGATGTGGTTGACCGGATGCTGTGATAGGTTGTTGTGAAGATTGGGATGGTTACTGTTTCGGTGCACCATGTTCATGAAATCTTCTGGAAGCTTGCCGAACTGTTTTGCCTACATACTTGTCATCACAATTTGAACACGCTATCATGTATACTAAATGTGATTGAAGATCTTTAGGTGTTCTGTCTTTTTGTGAAAAATAGCTAGATATATCGGAAGGTGGACGAGGAATCGGTTGAAGGTGAAGATTCGGTCGAACAGTTTTTGCTACGTCAATAATTTGTTTTCCTAAACGGTGAAAATAAATTGTTATATCTATTAACAAAATGTTAATAAAAAGATTTAAAGCTGCTGTTAACTCTATCATATTTATTCTCAAATGTTTACCCATATCAAAACAAAATTATTTATTTATTAGCTCTTTATAGATATCAGATATATGAAGAAGACCTTCTGTACGATTTCGAAACTTTTCTGATCGGACAAAGCAACCCCATTGCATTATACTAATAACAAGACCGTCGTAAATAGTGCCAGCTCTGGGCTCATCCAACATTTGCTTTTGTTTTGATTGTCGAGGTGAATCATTATTATTTTTTCGCTTATGATCTTCATCAACATATTTCTTTTTTTTTTTATGATCGGTGAACCGGAGAAACAGTTCTATCCCAGCCACTTCAACTACTGGTATCACTAACCGAAGAAAGACGCTGACGTTTACGATCTTTGTCATGACTTCGTTTTTTACCGTCATCTTCCTTATCATCATGGTGCCAATGATGTGATTAAGATGATGGTTCATTTGCTAAAGCCAAAGCTGGACATAAAGCTTTGCGTAATGATGTATCGTTAACCTGATGTTGTTATTGTGTTGTCGAAGTCTTTTTGTGGCACGAAAGTCTTGGTAAATGTGTGTTCATTTTTTGATCACTTAAAAGTAACTATTGAGCGTTCAGAGCAGCTACTTATACGCAGACTGTCCTGCTCTCTCTGAATATATGCTCAGAATTTTTTTCTGGCTTCAGGTTGGTGAACTATGAAGAAACACAAAGGAGCTGAAGCGATATTTGTACAAAGCGAAGTAGATCTTTTTTTGGAACAGTCTTAGTTGGGTATCTTTCTAGAGCAATTAATTCTCTACAAAATGAGGTACCACACACAGTGGGCATATAGGCGGAAATTAGGCGGAAAATCGAAATAATCCTTTTTTCAAATATAAATAGTGCAAAATGTAGCTCTTGAAATTGTCTATCGAAT